CACTCAATCTTGCCCTCACTCTCCTTTCGGCGCCGACCGGGAAAGGAGCAAAACTAAAAGGATCTTGAATAAAAAATGTAGCTAGGTGAAGATTCTCAAGGGAATTACTACTGATTATTATAACAGCTATTTAACTAGTGATAGTTGGATTTACATATTTCTGCTCAACAAATATTTTCAGAATTAAAATTCCTTGTAAAAGACATGTTTATCTTCTTCTTAGGTTATGAGGCTTTTCACTTTCAGAAGAAGATATGGAATTTAACCAGTTCTTCTAGGTTCAGAAAAGGCATTAGTCTCAAATCACCCTTAAATTCCATAGTACTCAAAACAAATGATAAAAAAACTCTATATACTTACAAGAGCGTGTCACTATCTAGCTCACAGAACACATAAAACCTAAAATTATCATCAGACAACCTAACCATTTAAGAAAGGTGGTGAATGCATACTTATATGTCTCATTTGTGTTATTTTCCTTCTGGGTATAGGACACAGTAGCTTAGCAGTTAAGACAAGGTCAGCAGACAATCACAAGGTCAGCAGATCAGCAGTTCAAGACCCAAGTGCCATGAGATTGTGTGAGTTCCTATCACTAATCCCAGCTTCTGCTAACCTAGCAGTTTGAAAGCATGTAAAAATGCAAGTAGGCACATCCCCTGCCATGGATCATTCCTCTAAAGAGATGAGTGTGAGGTCAGTTTGTACTTATGGCAACTCCATAACTTTTGTCTTTTGAATACTATCTTCAAACTGTATCTGCAAATCTATGTGCTAGTTAGGGATACATAATTACTAAGCCACCCAGTGACTGGAGATGGAATATCAGCCTTCAAATGTACACATTTATAATAATTAGTATGTTTTAAAACTCAAATAATCCACTCCTAGCACACCCCTAGTATTCATGCTACATTTCAGATTTCATAGTCTTGGGGCTATGGCTGTGACAGACATATGCTATCACTACAGACAGAAAACAAACTCTTAAAAATTTAAGCTACTAACAGTTGTGTTGGCATAACTCAGATGCAACCAGCATTCTAGCTACCTGCTGTCTCACATCATGCGCTGTAGACCTAACATAAACAAGGCAAGACAAAGTCATATGACATGTCACAGGATTCCTGGGAGCAACTGTGTTGATGGGCAAGAGCAATTTGTTGCTTAGCTGCTGTTTAGTTAGAACAGCAGCAGAGAAGCTGTCAAGCTCAGTGTGTATACACATCTCTCTCAAAGAATTCTGGAATCCAGAGGCTGCATAAGACTCTGAGAGTAGGATGATGCAATTTATCTATTACCCCCTACCAGAATTCACCAAAATCTCACCCCATCTAAAAAAAAATAGTCCTTTGAGCAAGAAAACAATACTGTTTTGATCCCCATCTTGTCTGGAATACCAGGACGATGTCATACAGTAAATTCCATGCTTGCTCCACTGGCTGTTTTAATCAGTTAACATTTGGGTTAGACTTAGGCCATGAAAGAAGAAACGGTCTTACGATCTTAGGACGTTTGTCTAAGACACTGCTAGATTATCTTCAGCACCACCTCCATGTGAGATTCATCTACCTTATTTAGGAAATACAGATCTATGTATCTATTTGAGAGTGGCATAACATGCCATGCAATTGCAAAGTATGATGGGTAGGGCTCCAACTAAATGCCAAAGGCCCTAAGTAAGTTCTTGAACAATAATGGATATTACTGGATGTTAAGCATTCCTCCACAATATAGTGGAATGCATGGGCTGTGGGAATTGTAGTCTGAGTGAAAATGTACAGATGTGTGGAAGCTTGTTAGCTGGGAAAGTTTTTGCCTGCAGGTGGATTACACGAAAACAACACAGAGAAGGAGCATCCATGATGCATCAGGAGGGGCTCTAGGTTGCGCTGGCCAATTTCAAAGGATGCTGACGCCTGATTGGCTGGGCAGGCAGGAAGCCCCACCCTTCCTGCACCATCCAGCCAATCATGAGGGGGATAATCTAGGATCCTAGCACGCTGGTAGTCTCATGTGTCATGAGACTTGGGGGCTATATAGCCCCTGGCTGCCTTGAGGCAGCAGCCATTTTAGGGTTGGCAGACAAGCGAAGTGCTTGTCTGCTGGTAGCGGGGAGTGGGCCTAGCTTGGAGAGGGCCTGTGTTTGGGGGCAAGAGGGAGTGTAGCTCGGCGTCTAGCTTCCTTGTGCCCACTTAGGGATGTTCACAGCCTGGTTCAGCGTGATCTTTGGAGGCTTGAGACCCAGGCCTCCGCTGCCTTGGTGGTTGCAGCCTGACCGGGGGCGGCTCGTCTGAAGGCCCGAGGAAGAGTGGCCTTGATCAGCCTTGTGGGGGCCTGCTCTGCGGCGCCGCATGAGGCGTGTGGCCAGTGGTGAGGCCCCCTGGGAGGCCCTCCAAGTGGGGGTAGCACCCCATTGGGGCCTACTGCAGTGGTGGGCTCAGCGTGGCCTGGGTGGCTCAGACCTCCCAGAGGGCCTTTTCTGCAACTGCTCCCAGACTTTGGAATGGTGTGCCGGACGAGATCCATCTTATCACCACTCTTGCTGCTTTTAAAAAGGCAGTAAAGACGGATCTCTTTCGGCAGGCCTTCCCAGAATAACTTCCGCCTCGAGGGGAGATGAGCTTTCATTTTGCCCCTATTGTTGCGATTTATTGTTTTATTGTTTTATTGTTTTTATTGTATTGTTGCATTTTAATTCTTTAAAGTTTAATTCTGTTTTAAGGGGATGGGAGTGTTAGATTGTGGAATGAGGGAATATTTTAATTCTGTTTGTTTTAAAATGCTGTAACCCACCCTGATTGCCACGCAGAGGGGTGGGCTATAAATAAAAAAAATATTATTATTATTATTATTATTATGGTGGTGGTGCCCATTTAAAAGGCCTGAGTGGCCCAATACATCAGCAACCCATGGTGGGTGGCCTCCTGTTTATGGGGCCTGTGGCCTCGCTTGTCTTGTCTCCCTTGGGGGGGGGGTCCATAGTCCAGCAGCCTGACCTCAGGATCTAGTTCTGCTATTGAGCTCAGTGCGGCCTGGCTCCCTATTTAAGGGAAGGCCTGGTGGGCTGAAGAATTTCAGCCCTTGTGGTGTTTCACTTGTCAGTTATATCGGCTTGTTTTCTTTGTCCCGAAGGGACTGGGCAGAACACTGGGGCCTTGTTTGTGTCCCTGCTTGGGACAGGTTCTGGTTTTGGGGACCTGTGCTTGGGGGTACAATTTCCTACACTCCCCCCTTTTTTGGGGGGGAGTTTTTCCTGTTGCTGAATAAAGACTCTCTTTTAACTTTTGGCTATTGGGGTATTCTCCTTAATAGGAGTACCTCAACCCAGAGCTATTATGGGCCCTACATTCTTAATGTACTGGGTCCCATTGGTGTTTCTAAGGCCACTGTTTATTTTAATTCATACAAGGGTTGTAGCATTTAGAGGAACACTATAACCCTAGGCAGCCTTTAGTTAGTTTGTCATCATGCCGCTCAGCAAGCCACAGTCTAAGTGGCGTGCAACTTTTGTTTGGCCTAGTACTGGGCAGCCCACTCTGGTGGATTTGTATAATTTCTTCCAGAGGGCTGTGGTTTCAGGTCATGGCAGTGGGATGGCACCTGAAACACGTGGGATTCCTAACAGTTATGGAGGAAGTTCCTTTTCCACTTTACAGCATCGCATCCAAGCTGTGGTCACGTCACACTCGGAGGGCGCTTCACAAGTATCAAGGGATGCTTCCCAGTAACACAGGTTTGTCTCAATCTTCTTGGCCCACCTCGGTATGGACTCCAGGTGGGCAAGGTAGGCAAATTTCTGGTCCAGATGCCTCTACTTCTGTTTCTTTTGGGGCACCCTCAACATCACTAGGGGCAACTCAGGTGTCTCTCGAGGGTGCTGGTTGTGCAGCCCTCGGTCTCCAAGGGAAGTGACTCAAGGGCGGTTGTGACCGTGGGAGCATTAGATCTAGCTGGAACAGACAGAGCAGTGGAATGCAACCCTTATGTTGGGATGT